CTCTATAAATGGCCACTCAGGCGTTCCTATTCACTTTGAAAATTAGGTTCATTTCACAGGACACAGCAGCATAGATCAGGCTTCAACTTAACATTTAAGGGAACTGTCAGATTTTTTTTTTTTTTTGATGAATGAAATTGTTAATGAGGGAAAAAATTTTAATGGAGTCTTACCTATCAAATCCCCATAGATTTAAGGATTTTAATAAAAAGCCATGGTGTATGCATTTAACCCAGGTTTAAAAAATATATATATCTATGGGCCAGTATTCAATGAATACAATTTCATGGTTTTTAATCCTTTCAGAGCACACTAAAAATGGTGTGCCGATAAACCCCAAGTAAATTAATCCTTCCCTATAAATCCCTTTTTTGTTTTGAAGAGAAATTATATTTATTGTTGTTTACTGAATACTTGTGTGAAAGCGTGTCAAATATGTGTGAACTACTACTACTGTATTTACAATTTACAAACCTTATTTTATTGATATTTGTAGAAGAAGTGATAACATGAACATGAGTACCTGTTTATGTGAGTCTTCCATGGATGAGCAATGCCACTGAAAGGCTTTTTGTATTTTCCCCTCGCTAATTTTAAGTAAGTTGACATAAACTACTTCATTCATAAAAATGAAGTAAGGAAAACAAGTAGTCCTGTTTGCTGCTAAAAACATTTTCAAAGGAAAAACAAAAGTGCTTTTTACTTTTTAATGATATTCAGAAATTAGGGTGGATAACTTCAAAAAAATCCCTGAAGATTAAAGAGGCTATCTCTGCCAATCACAAGTTTGGTTGGTGTCACTTTGGGTCAGACTAGCATCTTCATGGAACTGTTTCTCTAACTTCTCAAGTCCTTCAGTAGTTCATGGTCAGAACTATGCCTCGATTGATTTATCATTTTTAAATAAAATCAAAATTTTTACCTGTAATTTTAGCCACATCACTTTCTAGTGAGAGTCATAAATTTCATGAGGAAACCAGATCAAGGAGTATAAACAGTACAGATCAGCTCCTCTTTATCTCGTATTCCCTTTACTTGTGCTCATGTGACCTGGTGTTTTTTGATACCCACTATGTGCCAAGCACTGGGAATGTGCAAATAAGAGGCACAGAATTGGGGCTGAATACATAGATAGGAATGCAGAGGATGCTTGCTGGGCAAGCATTCCCAGATAGGAGAGGACTCAATAAATACAAACCTATGTGTGTGCCCCTTTTTTTTTTAACAAATTATTTGAAGACATTCCAGCTAAAGAAGAATCACGTCAAAATTAACTTTAGAATTGGCAGTTCTGGTAGAAAGAATTAGTGATCGTTCCTTACTCACTTTGAACGAACACAAACTCATGAATTAAGTGAATTATGCAACCTAGGCTGAAACTCTGCTCTACATGACTTTCCTCAGTGGCTGCTCTTCTGAGTTCTCTTGCCTTCGTGTATGAAAGTCAACTTGACTGGGCATAAAATTCTTGTCACATTTTCTTTGGAAAGCCTATTGATTCGGTTGTCTCCTGGCATAACAGAAGTTTGAGGCCAGCCTAATTTTTGTTCCCATATAGGTTTTATCTTTCTGCTTGGATGGTTTTGTGGTTTATCCCTGTAACTTTTGAGTAGGTAACACTTGTCTGAAACAAAATTGAATCCAATGTATCGCCCCACCCAAGCGTTTTTCAATTTGGGAAAGTATGTTCTTATTTTTTTTTCTCAAAAATACTTTTGTCTTCATGTTCCTCTTTTTTCCTTCATGATAGGAGAACTTCTCAAGTTCAGTCTCTACGACCGGTTTGATTTTTAGTGTCATCCTGCTGTTTGCTGTTTCTAACGTGAATTTTGTCATTTCATGTCTAATTTTCTTGACCATAACTTACCCCCCTTCCTTTTTCTCTCATTCTTTTAGCTTGTTTATTATCTTCCTTTACATAGAAACCATGTTCTTAAATCTCTTTAAGGATGTTTAAAAGTTTCCTGCATTCTGTTTTGATTCTTATAGTAGATCCTACCCAGTGTATTGGGCTTTTTGTTTGATTTTTGATCCCTCACACTGAATCAGTGAGACAGTACCAGTATTTGCCAGCAAACCTGGAGAATGGATTGCCCTTTGTTCTTTGCTCCCTTTGTTTGGATGCCGGTCACAGCCCCTTCACAGCTAGGGGACAGATATATCTGCTCCATTCCTTGTCCAGTTCCCAGGGCTTAGCTATCTTTCAAATGCAGCTGGCCTGTCTCTCTTAACAAGCTCTACGAATGCCCCACTACTGGGGTTCTTTTCTTTTTCAGGAACAAACAAAAACATGAAATCCATTTTTATAGCCCCAATCAATACCTTTTCAATCTCTTGCTCAGTGTGTACAGTATCAACAATGTGCCACACTTAGAGATGTTACTCAAATGTTCTGAGATAACTTCGGTTTGCTTTTCATCTTGAAATGTATTTCAAAAATGGTTCTATTAAAAAAAAAAAAAAAAACTTACCCGAGTAGAAAAATTTGTGGATAGGTCAGTCAATAGGGTTCTTAGTGTTACAGGCAAAAAAAAAAAAAAAATGTCAAAAAAGCAAATCAAAATTTTAACAAACTCCCATAAAAGCATTAAGATGTGTTCCATGCTTTTTTCTTTGAAAGCAGGCATGTTTGGACAGCAGTTAAGAATTTAGCAAGCTTTACTGTGTGGAGTTATAGACTTAATTGGGGTCTGGCTCTGCCAGTTTTCCAGCTGAGTGTGGCACTCCCCCTAATCTCTTGGCACTTCCGTTTCATTGCCTATAAAATGAAAATCATAACTTTCCTTCCACAGAGTAGTGAAGATCAATTAAGTTCTCACTAAGAAAAGACTTTTAAATGGCTAGAACCCTAAAACTAACTCCTGAAATGCAGTGTTGGACATCTATTTCCCTATTGAGAGTTTCTAACACTGGAAATCTAAAAATGGTTACAGCTTGCAAACACCAACAGTTCCCAATACCCGCCTCATTTCAACACCACAGGACAGCTGCTGCTCTGAGATAAAGGAGCGCACATATATATAGTCATGAAAACTTCTAGCATGCCAATTTAAAGCACTAGTTTCAAATAACGGTAGGTATTACCGATCCACTGACGAGTAGATTTCATGGCTTAGCACTTATATGCAATACAGCTAACCAAGTTAAAAACTGAGTAGTGTGTATTAAATAGGGGAAAAAAGACTGTTAAATATACAGGATTCTGAATCAAAAAACAAACTAAATTTTAAAAATCATGTCTATTCATTAGACTTGAATTTAAGCATTGTTTGTAAAATAGCTGCTTCGACACTCCTGTCCTTTACTGCTCAGTTATGAGGCTATTAGGAGACAGTGTGCTCAAGGGTTCTTTTGAAAGCTATAAAGTACTACACAGCTGTATTTCAATAATCGATAGAATGATAACGTAATTTTTTAGAGTAGTTTTGGGTTCACAGCAAAATTGAGCAGAAAGTACGGAGTTTCCACATGCCCTCACAAGCCAGCTTCCCTCACTATCCACTTTGTACACAAGGGTGGGACATTTGTTGCAATCCATGAACCAATGGACACGCCATTGTTACCCAAAGTCTGTTTACACTAGGATTCATTCTTGGTGTGGTATATTCTATGGGTTTGGACAAATGTATAATGGCATATATCTGCCACTGGTAGTTTCACAATACATGGCATCTATAAATATCCATTAATGTTTTTTGAGTACTGCCATGTGCCTTGCACTGTTCTAAGGACTTTTAATCTTTATCTGGAAGAGGAAGTACTTAAGATGTAAATTACCTTATCCCTAATCCTCCAACTAGTCAGATGAAGCCAAGAGACTAGCCCACCACATTACTCTCTTAATCTGTTTCTTCTGTGTGCTTTGGGGCTTAGGGAGGAAAAAACTATCTTCTTACTGTCAATGTAATTGCATTTCAGTAGCAAGGAGATGGAACTACTTAATGCAGTTTTGAACTATCCAATCCTGTGGGCTCTAGGGGATTTAAAGATAAACTGGGCTCTAAAACACTGATTAGTTCTTTCCACATCAGAACACTAGCAAGAATCTATCCTCCCCATCACCACTCCACAGAACTTTTTTCCCTTTACCTCTAGCACTTCTGTGAGAAATGTCGCCTATCCTGATGTTCCTCATCTGCTAACCCCGCTACATTTCTGTCCTACCAAGATCGCATCTTCCCTCGACCCTCCGTTTATCAGGCTTCCTGTGTTACGTTGAGGTATAGTGCCTGGTGCTCAGAAATATTTGCTGAATTAACCGGCAGAATTAAAAGACATAACTCTTGAGCAGCCACGACAAGGTCTGACAACAGGTGTTCAATCAAGGTTATTGATTGGGTCTCGCTATAAAAGTATTCACAGAGCTGCCCAGTCTTACATTAGGGTTGGGTTCCAAAATCAGCACCTAAAGCGAAAATTGCATTAGCACCATGTTTAAATATCCCAGGCAATACAGCACGCTTGCTGGGGGCTATTTATTTACTGTACGACTCTGCCTAATTCTGTTCTTAATTGCCCAGTTGGACCAAAAAGATAAATGTCTGTAGCTGGAACCATTATGCCTTTGAGAGGCCCAGCATCCGTGCTGGGCTGACTCTCCGCCGTTCTTAGTGGTGTCTCTGCATCTAATCCAGGGGGCAGGTCCTGGAGCGACGCGCCTCCTGAGTCCGTAAGTCGGAAGACATTCCGCGTGCCCCAGCCACGATCCCAGTATCACGACAAGTGAGCCCTCGAGGTGACAACCTTCCTCCCGGGCCCCTGCGCCGCCGCGTCACGTGCCCGCGGCACACGCCCCGCCTTCCACACGTCATTCATGTGGCCCACCCAATAGCAGGGGCGGGGCCTGAGGCGCCCTGCGCCGGAGCTTGTGGCGTCAATGCGCCCGCCGTGTCCATGGAGAGAGGCTGAGGTGGCCGAGCTCCGGCCCAAGGCACCCGGGCGGCTGGACCGCGAGGATGTCGGCTTCGTTAGTCCGGGCCACAGTCCGGGCTGTGAGCAAGAGGAAGCTGCAGCCCACCCGGGCCGCCCTCACCCTGGTGAGTGGCTGGGGCGCGCGGCAGGGCCTGTGACATTGGTTCACCTCCGTTCCGCGAGAGGAGGTCACCGCGGCGGAGCGCGGCACGCAGAGAGGCTGGGCCCCGGCCCCGGGCCGCTTCGCGGCCGCTGCGTAGCCGCCCTACCCCTCCCCACGGGGAAGATAAACAAACCAGGGAGGGCCTGCTCCGCGGGAGCTGGTGTCCGGGGACTACGTTTCCCATCAGGCCGTGCGCCGCCGCGTGCTGGGCAGGGGGCGATGTGCGAGCGCGACCCGGGGAGGTCCTCTGTGGCCTGCCTGAAGGCCAGGAACCCCTTGAGGGCTCTTGGGGCTGCAGTGCTTGAGGTTACAGGTTGTTCCGAAGTCGGATGTGCCAGGCGCCAGGGATAAGCGGGTGAATAAACCAGCAGTCTTACCTAGAGGTGCTTGGGGAGGACTAGTATAAGTGCTGTTTGGCAGAGTGCGGCCCCCAACAAAACCCCCCCTCTTTGCTGAGATCAAGGCTGTTGCTGAACCTTAAGGGTTACTTCCAAGTACTGGGGTTAGAGGAGTCTTTGAAACACTCTATGTGCCTCTGGCTATCCTGGGCCCTGGTCAGCTCAGACGAAGAACAAAGAAGGATTAACATTTCTACCCTGAGTTTGTTTACAGCGTTTTCTGGGTGAGAGGTTTAACATACTCAGAGGGCACCGCAGTACATATGCAGATACTTGAATTTATCGTGCATACTGGATCCCCAACGTACTATGCAATTTTTTTTTTAACCGAGGGGAAATTCACATAAAATTACCCATTTTAATGTGTTCAGTTCAGTGGCATTTAGTACATTCACAATGCCATGCAGCCATCACTTCTACTTAGTTCCAAAACATTTCATCCCAAAAGGAAACCTCATATCCATTAAGCAGTCGCTCGTAGTTGCAGTTTTGAAAAGATTAATTTCATTGGAAAGCTTATGATCAGTTCAACCTTTTTAACACACCCTCTCTTGGTTAAGAAGACTTTGCAAGCAATTTTCTCCTAGAGACGACAGACTACTGTATTGAAATTGAATCCTTGATTCCATTCATTGTAATGCCAAGAAGGTCCATTGCCAGAAAATTAGTTGTAGCAAGATAGAAGAAAGTCGTGATCAAGTGGGAGAATTCATTTTTACAATGGATTAATGTTTTAGGCCCATAAGAAGGTTATCCTAATTATATAGGGTACTGTATTCTATATTTTTCCTGTGACGCCGAGTTTGTTTTCATGTTTGAAAGATAAACCATGGATTCTTCAAATTTTCTAAGGTCTTGAAATCACAAGAACTCATACTTTTTGTCTTTCAATCTCAGTAAAAATTACTTAGAATTCAAAAGACTTCTCCCATAATAATGGTAAAGCCAAGAAGTGCAGACACTTTTTGCCTTTTCTTTCTCCACTGTTTGGCATATTAACCTCTTTCTTCAAAATTTTCGAGTCATCCCCTTTCTCTCCATTCTGCAAACATTTAAGACCTATGTTTCTGGATAAGACATAAATGCTACAGTTCCCACCCCCTAGGGACACAGTCATGGGCCCAGGCCTTTATGACCTCTAGGAATTACTAGGTTAGTACAACCTCAGACCCGGGCTGTCTCTCCACAATTAACTCCTTGTGCTTCATTAGATGTTACCACTTACCAGGCCCATCCTGCTACCAGCACTGCTTTATCCTGTCAATTCTCAGTTCACAAGGGCTCCTTGTTGCCTTTGATCAGCTGTTCTCAATAACTTGCAGGAGTCCATTATCTGAATTCATCCTACTTAACTGGCTGACTTTAGGAGTTTTTTTCTCTGTGATCTTTGGAGAAGCTGGTACCAGAGAAAAAGCACGTCAGCACTTCTTTCCACCAACAGTGTATAATAGCAGGCTTGCAGTCATTTTAATCTTAGCATATGTTTCCTAGTCTAAAAACACTTTCATGCATGTAGTTTTCATGTGTTTCTGTAAACATTTTTAACTCCACATGTTCTGTGAAGTCAAAAGCAGTGACGTTATCAAAAGGTAAAGAATAGAGACAGGTGAGAGCAAATGAAACTAGAGATAATTTGGTGAAATAGGTAAGAAAAGACCAGTGTTACCTACATGTAAATTTTGACTTCAGGAATTTGCCATGTTGCAACCTTTGATAAGTGCTATGCCTGTGAGGTCTACCAGTGAGAGGGTAGGAAAAGGAATTGATGAAATGAGAACATGGTTCCATGTTGTCAGCACCAAATTATCTCCATTAAGTGCTGTTAATCCATGAGAGGACTGGTGGTTTGCCAGAGAGAAAGACTTAAAAGGCTAGTGACAGGCTGCCCATGACACTTTTTATGCAAACCAGAAATGGTTCCTTGATTGAATGCTTTAAGACTTCAACCCACTACATCAAAATGAGTACCCTCAAACACCTGCAGAGAACATCCAGGGATATGACACACTCCATCCTCCTACTTTCCTACACACCCAGGAATTGACAAATGAAATTGAACCTGTAGGAGCCAGAGTAAAATATGATTAAAGAACCTAAAGAGTTAACACTACCCTGCTGGCAGAGGCTTCATTTCCATGTTTGTGCAAGTCAGAGTTAGTACAACCCCAATTTAGGATTAGGGATACCCACAGCTGTATATAAAGCTAAGCCAAAAGCTGTGAGAGAATGATGGTACATAGCCAGCATCATTCTTGATGAGCAGGAGAGAAGTTAATTTATTATGTGCAATGGGTGCCTTAGGGCTTAACTTTCTAGTGGCGCCTGGTTGAGAAGGGCTGGGAAACAGCAGATGTTAAGTACATTGGGACTCAATTACATGCTCTTCATTCATTGAAGGAGTAGCCTTTGGAACAAATGACCAAGCAGTAAGATTTGTATATATAGGCAATTTAAGAGATATTACACACGAAACAATTGGAAGTAACCTGAATGTCTATTAATCAGATTGGTTAAGTAAATTAAAGTAGATCTTGGTGGTGAAATATTATGTAGTCCTTGTAAATAATGATTTTTTGAAAAAGTTCGGGAGCATGATTCTTCATTCTTTGACTTACTAGCCCTTTGCAAATTATTTAATCTTTAATACTCAAATCACAGAATTGTAAGTATAAAAGATGGTGCATATAAACCATTAAGCACCTAAGTTAATCAGTAGTGAGTATATGTTTGTTACTCTGTATCAAATGACAAACATGTTAAACTTTTAAAATGTAGCTACAAAATCATGTATGTAGACTATGATTATACACACAGAGAGAGAGGAAAAGACAAAAGGAAAACAGCACCATAATGCCACCCATAGCTGTTAAAGAATGAGTTAAACAAAATAGACTGTAATTTGTTCATTGGCTGCTATTTACCATCTTTTAAGGCTTAAAATGCCAGATTTATAATGAAATTAAAATAGGTTGTAGTCGTTAGCATGTCTAGTTTGCATAATCATGGAGTTAAACTTTGAGTTTTTATTTTTTAAACAACAAAAAGTGAAAATTGCCTGGTAAATTAACGAAACATGGTATTGAAGATGAAAAGTTTCTGCTACAAGGAATAGAAACCATATGGCATTGAGTAAAAATATGTTGCTATGAAGTTTAAAAAATGCCTCATCTGCAGTGCCTTTTCTCTTGATTTTAACACCAAAAACAGACTGAAATTCTTTTTTTAAGGCCGAAATATCTCAGATTTTCTTTCATTTGAAAGAATGTCTTGTTCTTGCAAATACACATATGAGTAGATTAAAAATTATCATTATATGTCATTGACTTTCAAGGATCTCAAGTTTTAATTCACTGGCCAAATCTCAGGTGACTTAGAATCATTAAGTATCCATAAAGTTCTTAGAAAGATATGGGTTTCCTAGTTGTTTGGGGAAATGCATTGAAATTGGAAGGCTGCTAGGCTTCCAGCATGGTTTAGTTGAAGTTTTTATACTATTTTCCAAATTGATTTTACTCAAGTGCAAAGCCAGAATATGCAGATAGACTCAGAACAAATACCTTAGCTTCTGCCTGGTACTGAGATTTTTTAAAAGTACATTTTATAGCTAGAAGTTTTCTTTTCATCCCAAGCATTCCCTAGTTAGTCATTCTGACTTGTTCTGAAAATCAGGTCCATCACATGGAAAGTTATAAGAACCATTTTAAATGAGTACCCAACTGGGTTATCCATCATTAGTAACACTCTTCGCAATGGAGTATGTTTGACTTTTGCCTGACACAGGAAAATTAAGAGATGACAAGGCTCCTGTGTATTCTACTAAGAGTTGAGAAAAGAAGAAAATATATTATTTTGTAAAACCAAATTAGATCACTTAGAAAATCACTTGGAGATAAAAACCTTTGGGGCTTGGTGACAATGTAGTGTGCCCACCCCCACCCCTGTGTTTTCTTTATGTCATGCTGTGGAGTACTCTCTGCACCTTTGACCCACCGGAATTAAACCAGTACTACACCTTGGGTTGTACTTCCAGTGAATATTTTCCCATGGCTGTTTTAACTTACCAGAAATCTTTTGTTTTTGAGGGTAATTAGATTAATTTCTTTAGGACTCATGGGAAATAATAATCATGAAAATTATGGAAGCTAGTTTTTACTGGGTATTGAACAATAAAAAAAATTTTGTTAATATTTCTGTAACTATTTGAAACTGGTATGCTGTGATTTCCAAAAAAATAAAAATCATAATTTTTTCCAGCGTTTCCTTCTCCCTCCTCCTGTGTGCTATTCCCTGCCTTGTTTGGCTGCTTGGCTCCAGTTCTGATAGAATTGTGGGAAAAAGGCCTTAAAGGCATGTACTGGTAGTGATTTCTTTAACTTTTTTTTTTACAGTGACACAACAATAACAAATATATATGTACATACCATATTTTAATAACTAAAATCAGAATTTCACTAAACATTCATCTTTATCAAGTATGATGCATTGTTTTCTATTTTGTGTTTTTAAAAAATGCTAGTCTTGACCTTCTAAGTCGGTTTCATGACCTTTCTAATTTGAGTCCAGACTCCGTTTCAGCATCCTCATCTGGCCGAGCCCCCACCAGATAAGGCAGAAGAGCAACTTCTGGGGCCATCGTTGGGTCTGCTCCCACGACACAGGCTTGAGTCTGGCTGCGATTACTACCCAGTCACAGTCCACTCTTTGGGATTTCACAAACCAGGAAAATGCCAATATGATAAAACTAGAGGACCAGCACAGCATTGCCAGCTAGGGGAGCTAATTAAGCAGAAAGTAGGAAGGACGTTATCTCTTTGTTGTGGTATAGTCTCATCGTTGTGACAATAGCTAATTTAATGTTGAGCTGTTTACGCCTGGCACTGTTCTAAATGCTCTTCATGAATCCATTCATTTAAAGCTCACAAGAATCCTGAGGAGCGACTGTAAACACCCATTTAAGCCAAGTAACAGGCTGGGACACAGGTGTACCAGGAGCCTCTGTCTCAAGAAAATAGGTTTGGTGAGGCTGACCTGTATACGTGCAATATGTTGTGACGTTTTTCTTATTCTGAAGACAACTGGGCTAGGTTAAACAGAATTTTTCCCAAAAAACTCCTCCCTGCCCTTGTTTTTATTGTTGACTAGCTTAGATACCCTGAAAATACTGATTTAAGCCAACTTTAGAATCTGTGAACGTTTGGTGGGACTGGTACAAGTGGCACACTGTGGGTTATTTGATGCTGCTAGCACCTTTTTTTCTAGGTATGCATTTTGATGGATTTGAAGTAGATTTTGAGTAAGCAAAAAGAGCAATAAAGCTAACTAACAACAGGAAAAAATGCCCGAAGGTTGGCTTTCCCAATGAGGTACTTGATTCATTCATTGGCTATTGAGTGCTTTCTGTGTCCGGCAATGTGCGTGTTACTGGGCTTATAATAGGAGCACAAAATAGATGCTGCCTGGAAAGATTACATCTATGATGTAAGTAAATAATACCATAGAGATTGTGACAGGGAGCTGGCCTTGACTGAGAGGAGCAAGATAAAAAGGATATTTCTAGAAGATATTTTAAAAATAGAATGGTTTCTAGATTTTGTTGTACAACTTGTGTTACAGTGTAATAGGAGCTCTAGCACCTTCCTGCTAAGAATTATTAAACTCTAAAGTATGTCAGCATTCCATCTCCGTTTGGATAGACTAATGACGAGTATAAATTGACCAAATAAAATGAGAATTTAGCTTTGAAGATTTGAGAAATGTTTGTTTGTGTTGACATGACAAGGGTTGAGTAGAGTTTATATGTTTGTGTATAAAATCTACAAGCTACTCTGGTGAGAATGGAACATAAATTCATCACATGAATTTGCTAAAGATAGACTTGCGTAATCTTAGAGACTAGGAAATATAAGGCTTTGAAGAATGCAGATTTCGTAGCTAAAAACTTAATAACATTTTCTTTTTCAGACACCTTCAGCAGTAAACAAGATAAAACAACTTCTTAAAGATAAGCCTGAACACGTAAGTAAAATCAATCAGACAGATATTAGTAAAAAATAGTTTTATTCTCACAATTAATTCATCTTGTGTTAAGCAGTATGCTTTCGTTGAGGGCTTTTATTTAAAAAAGTAAAATAGGCTTATAATTTTAAATTCAGATTATCCAACAAGATACTCAATGAAAAGGAAGTCACTCTCTCATTCTAGACACTTTGTCATCATTCTCCCTTTCAAGAGACAACTTAGTGTCTTTCCAGAGATAATCTGTTCATTTTATTTACCTAGGCCAGGGTTTCTCAGCCTCAGCACTGTTGATGTTTTGGGCTGGATAATTCTTTGTTGTGAGTGGATTGCAGGATGTTTAATGTCATCTTTGGCCTCTGCCAGTGGCACTGCTTTACCCCTCAGTTGTGACAACCAAAAATATTTCCCTGAGAAGAACCACTGGCCTCAACTGTGCTATGCTTGTTGCATTGATATGTGTATCTCTTTTCTTACTTAAATGAGAATATAGCATACATGCTGTGGTTACGTTCTGCTTTTTGCCCCTAATAAAATAGCTTGAAGGTCTTTCATAACATTGCATAAAGATCAGCCTCATTATTTTTCACGGCTATGTATAATAGTATATTCCATTGAGCAAGTTTGATTTATTTAACCAGTCCCCATATTAAAGGTCTTTTGGGTTGTTTTCATTCAGTGCTGCCATAAATTTCATTCAACAAATATTCAGTGTCTGTAGTGTACCAGGCCCATTGTTCTAGACCTGTAAGCGTAGCTTAGTGCATTACATAGGCTATATTCCTAGATGCGGAATTGATGAGTAGGGGATGTGTGCATCATCTTAATCTTAGTGCATTGTTAATTGCCTAAGAACTACTATAAATTACTTCCAAGACTGTTAACTTTAGTGACTAGATTATAGAGTGGTTCCTACGTTCTGTTTTTACAAGCCACATTACAATGTAATGGGAGTTCTAGCACCTTCCTCCAAAGAATTATTAAATACTAAAGTATATCAGCATTCCAACTCCATATGGATAGACTAATGACTAGAGTAGAAATTGACCAAATGAAACTAGAATTTAGTTTTGTAGATTTGAGGGATGTTTGTTTATGTTAACATGAAAAGGATTGAGCAAACACTTTTTCGGGTGTCATTTATTGCACAGCCAATCCCTTTTCCAAACTCCAGTTACCTAAAGTATTTTCACATATTCTTTACGTATCTCGACCCATTCCAGTAGTTGACTTCCTGCTTACTTGGGTCTTCCTGCTTACAAAGATAAAAACTAAGTTAAACAAATACTTACGATGTACGCCCCAGAATTTCATCTAGACCGTTTATTGTTTATTTATCATGCTGAATATGTAAAATTCCCGCCCACATTCTCTAAGCTGTCCCTTTAAAGGTGAATAAAATCAGTCTGTCTCCTTGCTGTCGCTTAAGGACAGGGGAAGCTACTCCCTGAATGCGTCAGTGCCTCAGGACTCCCAGACAGCTTTACACCCTAACTCGTGCTCCTCACCGAGTATCTTCCCACTTGCTTTCTTGAAGCAAACACACACTGCTGCTTTTCAGAGATTTCAGGGTCTGCTTGGTGAAATAATACTTTCTATGATGATACTTTTGCTGTATACTTAAATGAAAAAACAGATAGGATCTAAAAGTGCTGTTTGCTCACTTTTAAAAAATTTCTTACATCTGTGTTGGCATCAGTCTTTTGCTTTCTGGTATTCGAGAATGTTTACACAGGTCTGCCCTAGAATTAAGGCCCTGTGTGGAGGCAGTCTGATTGCCAAGCCTGTGAACCTTGGCAAACCTAACCATAGGGAAATTTCCTGAGAACATCTCACCTGATGAGGTGTGGAGCAAAACTGTTTTTGAGCAGGTACATTTTTTTAGGTTGTCATCACTGCCATCAGATACTTTTCTTTTTTAAAAAAGTGATATTCTTTTTTTTTTTTTTTTTTAATTAAAGGCTTGTTTTAAAAATGTTATTCTCGGCCCAGATGACTAGAAGTTGGTTAAGTAATATACATTGGTATAATGGAATATTACATAGGCATTACTTGCAGTTACATTGATAGATGATGTTTTAAATGAAAAGAATAAAGAGAAAAATTTGCTCTACTATAGTAAAAACTATGTTTAGATTATATATACAACAAGGGCTGGAAGAAAATAGCAAAAGCATATAAGCTATTTTTTTAGGGTGCTAGTGACTATAGTTTTGAGTTCCCCCTCATATTGTTTTCTTTGTATATAATTGGTTTTTTATTCTTTTTTGGGTCCCCACTAGTGTTATAATGAACGTTTGTGCAATAGGTAAAATTTTTTAAATTCTTGTTTTCCCATTCTATTTATACTTCCGAAAGGACATTATATAGCCAGGAATCAAATATTTATCTTTTAGCTTATGAAGAAATAAATAATATCATAGCCAGGACTGTTATTAATAGGATATGAATTTGATCTGTACTATTTTAAAACTAAGTTTATATTTACAATTATTTTTCAGGTAGGTGTGAAAGTTGGTGTTCGAACCAGGGGTTGTAATGGCCTTTCTTATACTCTAGAATATACAAAGACAAAAGGAGATTCTGATGAAGAAGTTGTTCAAGATGGTGAGTTTTAAACAAACTTTTTCTGGGCACTTTGTTTTGCCTAAAATGTTTAGCCTGAGGTAGCATGAATAGTAATGATAATAATAGGAATGGCATATACAGTGCTCACTATGAGGTGGGCATGGTTTGAGGGACTTTCATGTTAACAGGAACTGGATGAGAATAGTACCGTATTGTCGCCATTTTGCAGATGAAGAGAAACTGGGGCATGAAGAGGTTAAATAATTTGCATAAGGTCACAGAGCTAGTAAGTGGCCTCGTGAACATTTGAACCCAATCAGGTTTACTCCAGAAGCTGTGCTCTTAGTAACTAAGTGATAGATTATTGGATAAATTTGTTTATTTATTTCAATTCTGAAAGATTATTTATGCAGGTTTTAAGACAATAAAGCTTCAGAGTGAACCAAGCACTTTTGTGTGAAGTCGCAGTTTTGCATATAAGTCTAATAAATAATGTTATCTCATGCTTTTGAGAACTCTATTTCCAGTTTTTATTTCCAAATTGAAATTTTTAGTTCTTTAATTTTATTTTGCCCCTGCTTGCTGCCCTTATGCAATAATCTGATAAAACCTATGTAAAACAATAAACAGTGCTACAACTTTGGGGGAACTTCAGTGTACATGAGTTTTGGTGGCTTTTGCAGTGGTGTACATGAGTTTTGCAGTGGTAGCTTTGTGCGTCGGAGGTGTGCTGTTGTCTAGCTTTCATGGGTTTGTTTTTTAAATTGAAATTACTAACCAATAAAGATACTTGTTAATTTTTAAATATTTTGTTTTTAACAAGGAGTATGGATTTATTTATTACATGCTTAATTAAAATATCTTGAAAGAAAAAATATATGAAGGAAATAAAATATTCGTACTGTATTGGTTTATATTTAATCTTTAAGTCAATACATAAACTTAAATCTTAAATTTTTCATCTTAAAGAAGAGATCTAATAAATATAGTTTCTACTTAAGTAATGACCCAATTTCTTAAAAGGAAGGAAACTTTCTTAAACCAATTGTATTTATGAAGATGCCATCCTCTGCCAACATAATTACTAGAGGGTTATGATATAACCAGTTTTCTAGCCCATAAAGAGAATAACAGAATTGCTGTATTATACTGATTGGTCTTATTAAACCAGCCCACTGTAACACAGTCTTTTGTGTGTCTCTAGTTGTGCCACTGTGTTGTTGGTACAGATGTCATTGCAGGGTTTTCATAAATGTTGTTGACTCCATCTTTACAAACTTCTCACTGAGAATATATATTTTTTCTTCATGTTGCAAATAGGAAAAATGAGTGATTTATGGTGAAAGGCAAATTCTTGTTTTCCATAGACTTGTCATGGAATTTGCTTGTGTACAACTTTCTAACCTAATATAATTGTTTTTGACATAGGTTATTGTATGGAAAGAGGGGACAGATAGGAAACTGAGCACTGAATCCCTTAAAGGAAATGTGACATATTCAAAAGCTTCCTGTTTGATTTTTGTTAGTAGTTATTACTATTTAAAGTTCACTTGTGCTTTGAATCGCAAGTTCTGTTGGCATGCAGGCTTAATATGACATGTGTTTTCTTCTCCCCAAGGAGTCAGAGTGTTCATCGAAAAGAAAGCACAGCTAACACTTTTAGGAACAGAAATGGACTATGTTGAAGACAAATTATCCAGTGAGTTTGTGTTCAATAACCCAAACATCAAAGGAACGTGTGGCTGTGGAGAAAGCTTTAATATTTGACCCCTCAGGACTACTCTGGCAGTAAGCTCCAGGAAAGCCTGTGGAAGCCCTGGGCTTACTGATAAAATCATGTGACTGTCATGTGCTTAAGGTTTATGATGCATGGCTGCCTTATGAGGAAAATAAAGCAATGCAATTTGAAAATGAAGCCAGTATGTTAGATTCCAAAAGAAGTGACATTTGTATTCTTTTTAGGGGACAGAAAATAAGAAGCCATCACTCTCTTTGGGTCATTTTTCTGAACTGTAAAGAAAAAAAATTGTACCCTTCACTTAATCTCCTGCATCCTTTCTGTTGGAACCAGTTTTATGGAAGGTGCTTGCCTGGGAGGATTTCGGGAAACGTATTCTTAATAGATGTGTTTCACTCCATGGATGTTTGTTGAATGGCTTGGTGCATTTTCAGACCAGATTGATGGTTCTTAAAATTCTGAGGCAGAAAGTTCTGATGGCTGATATGAGGTGCATTGCTTTTTTTCCCAAACTTGGCACAGCCTTTCCATGTATTTATTCAAAATCTCATTGTTGGACGCCTCGTTTGCTTACCCTTAAGTAGCACCAGCCATTTCATGAAAGTGTCACACAAAGACCTTGAACGCAGGTAGGATGATTCTGAGTAGTGGCATCAAAAGGTAAGAAATGCGGCACCTACTACTTTTCATCCATTTCTTTTGCCACCCTAAATGTCTGCTCAAGGTGGTACCTCAAGCTGACTTAGATCCTTTTGTTTGAAAGTTCTCTCAAACAAAACCCTGGGGAAGCAGAAGTCTTGTGTCTCCCTGTACACTGCAGAGCAGGGACTGCATCTCCCCTTCTGTGTAGGTGACACACCAGCCTGATGCTCTGAGGTAGGCAGTGAAGGTAAATGGGCAGTCTGGCTTCTCTATCTGGTTGATGTTTCGGTAAGATTTCTGTGTAATTTGATGGAGATCATATTTTTATTTTATTTTGAGTGAGAAAAATCTTATTTTAAAACCCATTTATGTGAAGTACCATGTCGTTTCTTCTGAACTATGAAGCAGTGGTTTATACTAGCAGGGAAGACATAGCAACCCAAAAATACCCTTTGGCATCTAGTAGTAATTAATCGTAAAGAACATAGGGGTCTTTTTCTAAAATTCTCAATATGAAGACACTTCCTGGATCCTATGTCCAATTGCTAAAATTTTTAAACTTAATATTTTAACCTAACATTTTGTCACCAGTTTTTCTCTAACAGTGTTCCTTTTGTCACTTAGTTACTGATTTTCCTGGGTTTTACATATTAAGTGTTTTATGAGATGATATATAGGCTTTTTCTGAAAGCTGATTATTATGAATCAAAGTAGCTGAGTTTGTCATATTTGCTAAAGTACCTGGCACAAAATGTACCAAAACTTAGAGCAGTAGCTTTATGCTCATGAGTTTGTATTATTATAATTGTCAATCTACTTGTAATTTGTGCAATACTGAATGTATGTAGAGATTGAGTTGTCAATAAAAAAAATGTGGCCTCTTTGTAATCTTAAAATTGCCTTTTCTTTTTAAAGAAGAAGGGTTTGGGAATTGTAGCTGTTATAGGTATTTATAAATAATTGCCATGTTTTTTTAACTAGTCTCCCTGCTGTCAGGATTTTCTATGCCTGATTCTGTTGCACCTGATGTTTAGGTTGCTGTGTTCTCCACGTGGCCCTTTGACAGAACCATTTCCAATTGCTCTTAGCTCCAGAGCCCCCATAATTCCCTTTCTTCTTCCGCCTTCTCCTTCCCTGTTTCACTATAAGGGTCATCCATTTCCTCTAACCTGCTTCTCAAGTCTCTCACACAGATTTCCTTACATTCTCATGTGTCATCATCCCTACCTGGAATGCTTTTTTCAAATCTGTTATCCAAGCTTTATGTTCATTTTCAAAAAGGTTCTTAACAGTTCACTTCTGGCGCATTCGTAAGCACCTGCTCTCCACTTGCCCGAGGTTTCACGTATGACCAGAGACAGTCAGTCCCTGACCTCAGAGTCCTTAAAATTGACAATGAGACAGACATCAATGAAGAGAATATGGTAAGTATTGCTAGTAGCTAACATTTATTGCAGACTAGCTGCATGCCAGGAAGTGTTCCAATTAACATAATCTTAACTGAGTGAAGTAGTTCTGACTACTATCTTTTTCATAGGTGAGAAACTAAAGCATAGCATGGATAAAATAGTTGACTAAGGTAACACAGTACATGGCTGAGTCAGAGTGACAACCCACACTGTCTGGCTTCAGCCCATGCTCCTAGCATTAGGCCACATTGAATGTCACAATAAGAACCGAGATGGGTACACTTCTAAAAAGTTATCGTAGAGGTTATGACATGCGAGCCGAGTCTTAAAAGACATAAGAAATTTGGAGAAGAGGAAAGAGAATTAATAAAACTAAAGAAGATTGAAAACATACTTAGGAAGCTGAATACTCAGAAAAACATCAGGCACAAAAGGGACAGCAGACAGGATGGAGGACAAAGCAGGCCCGGGGTATTGGGCTTTCTCTAGGTAATGCAGGTGTTGGGAGCCACTGAAGGTTTTTACAAGGGAGTCATCAAAGCGAGTGCATTTAAAAATGTCAACTGGGCTGCCCTGTGGAGCATGGAGAAGGCTGCATGATGAGCTGGACGAGAGGAAGCTGCTGCAAAACCCCAAGTAAGACCTGAGGGAGAACAGTGTGAGGAAGGCGTAGGTAAAATCGGTGGACTCCATTCACAGACCAGCCTCAACCGGGCCATGATTTTGTGGCTCTTGGCTAATCACACTAGCAGTACCTGTACTGGTGTTTTGGTTTTGGTCTGTCTCTTGCACAATAGCAAAAGGTTCTTGAAGATAGGAGCCCTCTCATTTTCTTTGATATTCATTTAACACCAGACACATCGTAAGTATTTTTGGCCAAATGATTCCTACAGCCATTATCAGCCATATCATATTCTGTCTGTTCTGCATGGTATTCTTCCAGGCTCCACTCCAGACCCTGGGCATCCTGTGAGAGGTCACTTTGTAGTGCCCCTGTGCGATACATAGAAAGTCAGCTGCTGGGAGGGAGCTTCATGCAGAGCCAGAGCCAGAGCCAATGGATTGTCCTGATGAGAAGCCTACTCTTCAATATCGAGATGCTAGTTGGATGGTTCAGGCCACTGTGCCTAAAACACCCGGTGAAGAATTGCAGGAGGGAGGGTGCTGCTGTGCTGCTCTGCTACAGAGCGGCTCCCTGCCTTCTGTCTCTGGACCCACAAGAAGGATTTTTTTTATTTTCTTGAGAAGGGGCGAAGTGGGATTGGAAAAATCACTACCAGATCAGATGTCCCTAAGATTTCTAGTACTTCCTA